AAACAAAACCCTAACTATTCCTCTATAATTTGGTGAAGGAATCAATTAAAAATAATACAGGGTGTTCAAATAAACGACAATTAAAATGGTATCGTTAATTAAAGGCTACCCTGTAGTACTGTACCAACTGTATATCAAAATTTATAAGTAGTCAATATTAATACTAATGCTATTTTAAAACCCTGAGTTGACTATAATTTTTACAATAATCACTCCATTGATATATTTAATATTTTAAATAAATATTCTACATTTTAGATGTTAAATATTTAGATTTGGATACATATGACACACATTGTATTCATCGAGAGGCCGGATATTTGCGAAGACTGCACCCGAAATACGTTGTCGAATATTACGATAGTTGGGTCGAAGGGAGCACCTTGTTCATTCAAATGGAGCTATGCTCTCATAACCTCATCGACTTATTGAACATAAAGCCACAAATGTTTAATAGAAAATCGGGAGAACCCATGAATTTCTACGAGTATTTCGTTTCGTGTGAAATATTCAAAGAGCTCTTAGAATGCGTTCAGTATTTGCATGAATTGAATCCACCGGTCATTCATCGAGCCATACATCCCTATAATATATTATTTACAGAGAATATAATGAACGGAAGGTTTTTAAAGCTTGGTGGTTTTGGCTTGGCAACTTATCACCAGGAAGGTACTGATTCCATAAATATGTAATATTTATCCTTAAAGTGATCTAATTTATAGATGATAAGCACACAATGGGTCTAGGATCGGGATTATATAGAGCACCCGAAGTAAACGCGAGCAAATATTACAACCACAAAGCTGATATCTATAGTCTAGCAATAATTTGCGGTGAGCTATTTGATCTGGATCTTTACAGGGGCGAGTAAGTTATATTGTGAAAAATTAATTAATGATAAATTGCTTAAAATCATTTTAACCTGTTCAGTTTGCGAATGCTAACTACGGATGAAAATATTATACTAAATAATGAACCAGTAGCTGAATTAAACAAAATATTGGAAACAATGGTATCGCATATTCCTAGTAAGCGACCCGATTGTAGGGATATCCTGGATAAATATAACGAGTGGTCTATCGATAAGAATATTCTTAAAAATCGTGAAGAATTATACATTATTTTAAACAGGTTCAAATCATTTGACATACAGTTTTTCTATGAGTTCTTATCAAATAAATTACAAATATTTGTTGATGATGATGATAAATTAATAATTAAATTGAACAATGGACATTACTCAAAAGCATTTGAAATATTGTCCAACATTGGATCCGGAGGGTTTGGTGTTGTTACAAAAGTGGAACATAAATTGTCAAATGAAGTGTATGCTGTTAAAATGATTGACCTTGATGGTAAAATATAAATTGAGGAATTATTCTTAATTATTAAAATTTTGAAACATTTTAGGATTGAGTGACAAACAAATAAATAATATTTATAGAGAAGTACGATATTTAAGTCGAGTTGACCCCCAGTATGTTGTCAAGTGTTTCGATTCGTGGAAAGAATTAAATAGAGTTTACATTCAGTTAGAGATGTGTTCACAGAATCTGACAAATATTCTGGAAATCAAACCACAAGTCTTCAAACGATTGCCAAATGAATCCATGAATTCATACGAATATATCATTTCGTGTGAAATATTCAAAGAGATCTTAGAATGTGTTCAGTATTTGCATGAAAATAGTTTCATTCACAGAGACCTCAAACCCGACAATATATTAATCGCCGACAATATACTGAACGGACGATTCATAAAGTTATGTGATTTCGGTTTAGTTACAGAACACGATAATAGCGTTCATTATATAACTGCTTACAAACACACCGCAGACGTGGGAACCATAAAATATATCGCACCAGAAATAGCATCAGGTAAAAAATATGATCATAAATCTGATATACATAGCTTGGCCCTGGTAGCTAGCGACATATTCGAGATTGATGTATTTAAAGATTGGGACAGGTATATACAGTATTATTTTTTAGATATTAAATATTTATACATATGAAAATTTATATTTTAGTGGCTTCCGATACTCAACTATAAATACAAATTTAAATGAGCCAGTATATTTGTTGAAAAAACTTTTGGACGACATGTTGGCCCATAAATGGCATAATAGGCCGGAATGTGCGGAAGTGTTGGCTAAATATAACGAGTGGTCTATCGATAGGAATATTCTGTTAAATGATTCAGAATTTGATGACATATTGGATAGTATTGATAAAATTGAGACTCAGATTAGGGAACGGGATGTGAGTGAGAGAGACAAGCAATACATTAATGACACTCTCGATAGAAACTATTATGGCGTACAGAATGGAAAACCGTTTTTTAAAAGTTATTTGTTTTATATTTTAAAGAAATAATTTTAATTTTTTATTTAATACTATATCTATAATACAATATATTTTCAATTATATTAAGCAAGCAAGATTATAAATTATCAACATAATGTACAGTGCTAGCGATTAAGCTTGATATTTATTTATTTAAGTGTTGTAATATTGTAATGAAGCATTTGTGGTGATCAATATAATAAAGCATTATTAATTAATAAGTTAATCAATAAAATTATTAACTATATAAACGTCAAAGCATCTATTAAAATAATTATTATACGTAAATAAAGTAATTATAAAAAGCAAACATTAAAATTAAATTATATAAAGCATTATTAATTAATAAGTTAATCAATAAAATTATTAACTATATAAACGTCAAAGCATCTATTAAAATAATTATTATACGTAAATAAAGTAATTATAAAAAGCAAACATTAAAATTAAATTATATAACAATTTGATCCACCTTACTCAATAAAAATCTAATATTGTATAATAGTTTTCACATTATGACCTCACTCATTTTTGTTGTGACCTCTCTCATCATGGTAATAAAAGTCATTACCTCTGCGAAAGTTAAATAAAAATAAAAATTCTAATTATATTATTTAAATTATAATATAGATGCCAGAACTTTTTGGATCCCGTTTATTGTTAAATAAATATATTTTGTATACCTTGGATAATAATTAAATAAATTTTACAGGTTATTTGGAACTTTTTTATAATTATTTTTTTTAATAGTTTTTATTTCTGGAAATATATTTGTTAATGTAACAACAATAGTTTAACAAATAAAAAGTTTTGTGAACATGTTAAAAGTCTTAAGGGTTTTACTAATTAACTTTATAATACATTAAAATATATAACATATTTTTTGGCATTACTATTGTCAACATAATCCGGGTCCAAACATATCCATTGTTTTAAGTTATTACCATTCTTATTGACCTGGCTTATTTCTTGACATATTGAATTAATAATTGACCATGATTCTATTTTAGTTATGTTTATTTAGTACTAATATTAATCTTAATATTTTGACATTTAATTAAAGGTTAACATACATTTCATAATTGGGAAAATTCTTGAGCTTGTTTATATTTATCATGCGCATATATTATTATTTTTTTATTAGTTGTTTAATTAAATTACGTTAATTAAATAAAATTTGGCGAAAATATACAGCATCTTCAATATTTATAAATACAAAAATAAATTAATTGTTAACTGGGAAAGAGTCAGTAATACAATTAATTGTATCCCACTGATTATATTCAAAATAATTTATTATTAATCTAATAAACTGTCACTTAATATCAATAATTTAAATTATTTTACCTTATAATGTTAAATTAAGATTTTTGGTTTGGATTAGCTATACGTATTTCATAAAATAAAATACAATACATTTTTTGTTTACCCAAATATTTACCTATTAATTTTGTGATAATCCATATTTCAATAGTTTTATAAATGATATTAAGGAAGCAAGATTTTATGCTTGATATTAGTTTATTTAAAAATAATAATATTACAATGCTACATCAGTGCTCATCAATGTGTTTAATAATAATTAATTAATACAGTACATTATAAAATTATTAAGTATTTAATGTGCAAAATAATCATTAAAATCAGTGTACATTAAAAATAATTATAAAAAGTGAACATAATGAATTACATAAAATTTTGAACCACCTTACTCAATACAAATTATTTATTTAAGGGGTCCTGAGAGCACCGGGTATGCCATAGGTTAACCCCATTAGCATATGTACGCAAACATTGCTATTCAAGCCCTTACAGGTGACGGCTGCCATACAGGTGCCTATCTTTTTGCGTTTAAGGCATTCAAGGATCTCCTTCTGACAGGCGAGCGCCACCTTATAGCCAATACAGTCAATGAACTNCATCAGCCTTTGTATTATAGGACCGCCCACTGGCCACTTCAGGCGCTATGTATCTCTGGGCACCGGCACCCCTGGTATGGGACTGGGACGCCGATGCGTGTACTTTAGCCAAACCAAAGTCACCAAGCTTAATACACCGTTTTTGAGCCAAATTAAGCAGCACTAAAATGTTTGCCGGTTTTAGATCCCGGTGAATTATTTGCGGTACCCGTGTATGTAGATAGTCTACGGCCTCTATAATCTCCTTGAACAAATGGTATGATATGAAGTACTCCACGTGACCGACACCCTTATTAGGCTGTGTTTTGAAACAGGTATTTTTGAGCGTGGTCACGTATTGTAGGTTGAATGAGCATAACTCCATTTGTATGTATAGTACGGCCGGACCTCCCGTTCCCATAGAGGTCTCCAGCCATGAGTCATAATATTTTACCACATAATTAGCATCAATTTTGGACAGTATGTCGATCTCCCGGTTCCCTGGATCTAAAAATTAAATTGTAATAATATTTAATATAATATATTTAATTAAACTACTATTTTTAATTTAAGATTAATTAGTTGATGCACTTGTAAATAATATTAAAATAAAAATTACCTATGATAGTTTTCTTAATAGCATATTTGCCATTATCGTGAGTAGACTGTGTTTTGTACACAGAGCCAAACGCACCGAAGCCAATTATGGATTTCTGACCAAAATCTGTGTTAATTTTATTTTCACAAACTGGTATATTTTGGCTATTATTATTATTCATTTTAGGTTCAATTAAAAAATGTGCTACTTGATAGATTAATCAATGTGTGAACACAAATAATACGTTAATTTTTAAAAATAGTCACACAACTATTAATGTATCACAAAAAAATTATTTATTGTCTTAACGTATTTATTATCATAGGAATGTAGTATAGCAATAAAATACCTGTACATAACTACCTAAGCAACACTTGAAATTGATTTCAATTATGATTACCTTATGCTTCATATAAAACATTATTAATATAAGAGGTTTAATATTGTTGACAATTAACACAAAAAAGTTTTCATTATAAAAAATTATGGTAATAAAAGTATTTTTAAAACTACAGCAAAACAAAACTCCACTAAAGCAAAATTATGTTAGCTAGGTTATTAGGATATAAAATTTAGATTAAAGTTAAATAAACAAAAAATTTAAAAGTTTTTTTGTAAAAAGATATGATTGAAATATATTACTTTAATTTAAATCTATAGAAATAATATGAAATTATTAGGGTTATAAAAATATTTTTGAAAATTATTTATTAAATAAATTGAAATATAATTCCCAAAATTAATATAAATTAAACAAATTTTTTAATAACAAATTGTTAATCATATATCGCATTATTATAGCATAAGTCACAAATTAAAACATTAAATAAACAAATAACATTGCATTCAGACTAAACATTTCACAAAATTACAACTAATATTATTAATAATTAAAATAACATGTCAAAAATGCACGCATTTCTAAATATTTTTCAAATGATCCGTGCAACTTATCAAATTATATTTTCACTGACCATAAAATTTGTTACAATTAACAAACATATATATATTAAAAGACAGAATCATTTAAATTTTATTTAGTTTTAGTCAGTTGTCTAACTCATACATATAAACATTGTAATAGTAATTATAATTACATTTAATAAAATTTAATATTAATTTTGTCAAATATGAAAGGTAAGTTTATTTTTAATATAATATTAATCAAATCTAGAAAAATTTATTTACCTAGTTTGAATTAAAATATTGAGTGTTAGACGGATACCAAAATTAAATTAGTTTATTTTATTGATATTTGAGTTATTATTTACATACAAAATAACAGATTGAAAACTTTTAATAAAAACTATTATCTCTTTCAGTAATACTAGTGTTACTCATAATAGCGATCAATACTACACCTAATTTGGGTCAAGTTGTGGTCACTACACCAGCAATAGCTACCGGAGCTAATGTAGGACCTGCAACAACTGGATCTCCACAAAGCGGAACACCTGGTCCTGGAGCTGCTGCCCCATCTACACCCGGACTTGCACCTGGAGCAGCACCAGTACCTGGCACTCAACCAGCACCAGCCCCTGGAGCTGCACCAGCACCGGGAGCTGCACCAGCACCAGTAGCTGGCTCTCAAACGGCACCAGCTCCTGGAGCTGCACCTGTATCTGCACCCACATCTGGATCAGCACCAGCACCCAGCCCGCAAGTAGGCGTACCTTCCGGACCATCAGCCCCTGGACAACCAGGAGCACCGGCACCACCTGCACAGCCAGCCCCTGGGCAGTCCCAACCCACTGTAAGTGGATCATCAGTGGTACCCCCGGCGCAATTCCCACCAGGGCCAGTCCCACCAATTGATGTAGTTGGTATATTCGGCAACATATTTGCCGTGAGCA